GGCCTCCCAGAAGCCTCTTGGGGCCAAAAATTGGACACGGGGGGGGGGCGCTCCCCCCATGCATGCATATGTGACCCCCTCACACCCCCATGCATGTGCACGTGTCTCCCACATGCGCGGTGACTCAAAAATCAGCTGCCTCGTGGGAGGTGTGTGAGCAGGCGCAGTGCTGCTGAACTGGGCGATGGCTCGTGTGCCTGCAGAGGGCTCCGCGTGCCAACCGTGGCAAGCGTGCCATAGATTCGCCATCACGGTTATGCAGACTGTGCATAACCTCAACTCTGGAATGCCTTTTAATCTGAAACATACATGTCTGGATGTCTTAGGCAAAAAATTAGATATTTTTGTTTTGATGCATAGCACCTTAATTTGATTATTATGTTTTAATGTACGCTTTTAAAATCTTTGCAACTCAATTAGATTTTCCTTTATAGGACTTTTAAGGACCGGAACAGAATCCTTTTATTCTGTTACCAAAAAGATGCTCACTAAGTTCAAAAGACTTTTCGGGGCACATGTGTGCCCAGGAAGATTCTATTAAAAACCTTTTGGAAAATAACCAAGGATTTATATGTATGACTATCCCATATTCCCGGGAACTTCAAGGAATGCCTAGCAAGCCCTTCTTCTGAGTTGCTCCCAATGCAGACTTCTTCCCGATGGCTGGCCTCCTCCTAAAATTGCAAAATAGCAAGGAAAACGGGAATCCTAGAACAGGCTAAGACACTTCTGGCAAGCAGCCCGGTGAAGCCTGGAGCTAACAGACATGCCACGAGGCAGGGAGCAAATGTAATTTTCCTGGCTACTAAAAGTCTCTTGGCTATAGCTTCTGCAAGGACAAAGAGGGGGGGCGGGGGACGACCGTTGGGAAGATGGCAGGAAGGATCTTACTCAGCAGAAGATGACTATACACTCTAAGAAGAGAAAACAAGCTTGGCTCCCTTCCCACTGTCGATGTTAAAGAATGAGATCACGGACAAGATTCAGGGCTAATGAGCTTTCATAAATTCCACTAGAGCAATTATTGGGTGCGCTTGGAAAGACCATCTCTCTGACCCTCTCTTGTCTCACTGTAAATACCAACACCACGTTAGGGGAAGCCCTGCTTTATGTCTGCTCACAAAGTCCTCAACGGGACCACAAGCGAATAGTTCCAGCAATTCATTAATCAGTACAACGGTTCCCTAGATACAGTTATCACAAAGAACTAGGAGCCTCCTGTAATTTCTGGCGCAGAGTCAGAGGCTCCAATAGTAGAGAAGCTGAGTTTGCCTGTGTACACATATTATTCTGAATGGGAGAAGACTAACATGCTCGCACAGTCGCAGAGGCCTATCAGTGTTAGAGGGCGAGGGGGAAAACCACACAGACTGAACAGATTTCTGGATTGTTTTGCTCTTGTAGATCCAAGAGCAAAAACAGAACAGGAGCCAACTTTTTGAAAGAATACAGCAGTGGAGAGATAGAGGGAGTGAGTAACCTCCAAGAAAGTGTGAGAATTCAATTTATTCTGATCCCTGGAAGACACTAAAGTTGTTAACCATTTTCAGATTAGAAATAACCGGGGAAGTAAAAGCTGTGAATTCTAATTAGGAGATGTTCCCTTGTCTGCACAAATTCTTGCAGATCAAGAATAGAAAGAGGGTGGGGGAGGTGGGGTAAAACACATCTTAAAACTTTGCCTTGGTCTGAGAGGAAGAAAAAAAGCATCTCCTTCATACCTGAATATCAAATACTCACTAAACATTCTAAAAATATTATAAATATATACATATATTTTGTTGAGCATTAGAAAAATCAAGAGAGAACGAACCCATAACTTCATTTGGACATACATACATACATACATACATACATACATACATACATACATATTTCAGCACTTCAAAGTGGGCCTCAATCAAATAACAACATAGCTTTGAAATGTATTTATGAAATGCTGTTTTAACTNCCTCTCACAATTACTACTATTGAGCAAAGTACCACCTATACTGTACCTGTGCATTTCGTTTTTCTTGCCTAAATGTAGACCTTTACTTCTTTCACCATTGAGATTCATTGTGTTAGATAGCACCCAATGTTCAAGTCTGTCGAGAACATCCTATTTGTAAAAACATCATCTGCCAGGAATACCGTTTCCTGGTATTGATGAAAGCTGTAATCCTCTTTTATGGCCAAAGGAGACTTGAACTCACCTAAAGGAGGCTGCAGCATCCCGCCATTTTTTTCACAGTTGCCAATGGGCTGAATTTCTGTGGAATCTACCAGACGCCAGAAGTCGTTCTTGTTGTCACTGCCATCGAGACGCAATCGGAGACGGGCACCCGTCAGCCCCACCACAGCGGCAATACAAGTTGACGTGGTGTTTCTGGGGTCTTGGGCTTCTAACTTCATGCTGATCTTGAATTCATTGCTGGGTGGGGCATAAGACTGAGGAGAACAAGGCTTTGGGTCACACTTCATCCTTCAGGCAGTCCATTTTATGTCCTCCCCAAACTCCTCTCCCTTCCTCCTCATTCCCTACATTGTCCCTGGCATCTGAACATCCATAAAGCTTTTGGGACTGTGATTCACAGTCAGTATGCAAAGAGAAATTAACAGGATAAAGAGCAGGGGGAAGAGAGGAGAATCCAGCCATCAATGGAAAATCAATTCTCTTGAACTGAAGACATTAAACTCTAAACTTTTCTCCTTCCTTTTGTTCTTCGGTATCTTTTGAGGTAAAACAGGCAGAATTTCATACTCCAACCAAACGGCCCCACTTTATTACTACTAAACCAGTTCCATGCTTACCTTCTTCATTAAACACTTGTGAGGTCATGGTAAGCTGCCTTATGCAAGTCAGACAGACCATTCACCCAATTCCCACGATGTGGCCTGCTTTGATCCCATTGAACCCAAATATGCTAGGAATTACACCCAGTGCTTTTACATGCATGTTACATCTGACACTTCCGCGGTACCCCAAAATCTTTGCTTCTCGTACTTTCACTTTGTAAAACGATATTAAAACAATGGGCAATGCTAAGAATTGTACATTGACATTTTTTTTGTGTGTGTGTGGCAATTATTCCCTCCGGTGACTACAGTGCATTCCATCTACGTAAAAGTGGCTTTTATTTTAAAATTCTAGTCAAACACAATACCCAGCAGGTCACATCTGAGCTTAGATATTATGACAATAATCCTGTTTAATTAGCATTTAGTCTAAAGCAATTATTTACATCAAGTCTAAAACAATCATAACGTATTATGAATGCGTAGGCAACGGTCTAGGTCCTTCCAGGCTAGTTCGTCACATTGTCAGTGTTTTTTCCCCCCCACTGTCTCTTTCCCTCTAACAGATTCCAATGTTAAAAACAAGTAAAAGCAGTGTGGAAAAAGAGGGGAGGGAGAGGTCAGCAAGCAGGAAGCAATAGTGAACGAATTCCCTTTTCCTGGAGTTATTTTGTAAGAAAAACAAAAGGTAATGTCTTAGCTGGACGTGCAGGTAGTCCCCAACTTACAACCATTTGTTTAGGGAACATTTTGAAGTTACAACAGCAGTGAAAAAGTGACATAACTTCCTCCCACACTTGCAATCACTGCAGCACCCCCAGGGTCAAAATTCAGGGTGGGTGGGGGGGTGTAGCAACCAGCATATGTTTAGATGGTTACAGTGTCCTGAAATCACGTAAACACCGTTTGCAATCTTCCCTGGCTGGCTTCCAACGAGCGAAGTCAAGGGTGGAAGCTGGATTCATATTTAGCGGCTGTACGATTCACTTAACAACTGCAGTGATTCAGTTAACAAGCATGGCAAAAAGACTGTAAAATTGAGCGTGACTCGGCCTTTGGGTTGGCAATGGAAATTCTGGTCCCAGCTGGGTGGTCGTAAGTCGAGAACCCCCTGCACCCTTAGCTACAACGCAGCCCATGTTCAATCAGCGATACCTGCGAACTAAGGTTCCTGAGCTATTTCATCAACTCTAGAACTCATAGTGCACCCCTTTTTTTTCAGTTCTGTTCTAGTATAGAATTTACAACCGGATACCTGCTTTGTTTGTTCTTCTCCCACCAACAGAAGGCAGAGGAGTCTATTCCATACTTGTATAGGAGCGGACTAGAAGCAGACCCCTTCATCCCAACTCTTTTAGAACATGGAATGCTCCATTACCTGCTTGAAGCAATGGGCAGGAGCTGGGATGGAACATGTCTCTTTCAAGTATTTATCCCAGGCAAAATGACCTGAAGAGAAGAGGGAGAAGAGAGGTTGGCTGTGACAAAAGGTTTGGAGGCACGCTTGAAAAAGCCACTCGGTCTTTAATAAACAGTTTGTCGCTCGGCTGGTTGCAGAGGGCCCTTTTGGCCTGCTCGCAGGGGGGAAAAAAAAGTCAAATCTTTTTCAACAATTCTGGGTCTGGATGGAGGTCTGAGACATGCTAAATTACCTGGGGCATCAGTCATAAAAGGATCAGCCCAGGAGGAGAACGTTTAACTTAGCCGAAGCTTAAATCTAATTTAGCTTTTACTTTATGTGCTGCCCTTATAGCCTGCTCCAGTTTCATTTTCCCAGGGACTCTCAGCATTTTGTTTATTCTAGCAAGTGGAGTTTTCTTTTGCAGTGGAATCAGAATATGTGCTTTTATATTCTTCTTCCTTTATTCTTCACAAGGTGTTCTCCATGCCTTTGGAATCCCGGTATTATTGCCCGTTATTAAAAAAGATGGTTGCTTACTTTTTAACATTCCATCTCACTCTTAGCTAACAAGTTTCCCAAAAGCAGCTTGTAAATTATCAGAAGTAAAGGTGTTTCTGCCACAAGCAGCTTCCTCATTCAAACAAAGAATTCAAGATGGGACTGTTAGGGTTGAATTAGATGTTACGATGTTTGAGACATGGCAACGTAAATGGAAGCTGTGAATCAGCTTCCCTTCTCTAATAGCAATAGCAGTTAGACTTATATACCGCTTCATAGGGCTTTCAGCCCTCTAAGCGGTTTACAGAGTCAGCATATCGCCCCCACAGTCTGGGTNTTTTCCCAGTTGCAATGCACGGCTGTGAAAGGTGGACCATAAGAAAGGCTGAGTGCCAAAGAAGTGAGGCCACTGAACTACGTTGCTGGAGAAGACTCCTGTGAGTCCCTTGGACTACAAGGCGTTTTTGCTCTCCCCAGGGTCCAGAGGTTTTCTTCGAGCCTCTGGGAGGAGAAAAACAGCCTCCCCAGGCTCCGGATGCCCTCTGGAGGCCTTCCTGAACTTCCGGTAGGCCCATTTTTCACCCTCCTTGAGCCTCCTCACACGCTGTGCACTTGCCTACATCAAAAACAGGCTGTGTGGGGACTCCTGGGAGGGGCGGGGTAGGGTGGGCAGGGCCAGCCAGGAGTGGGATTTAGGGGTTCTCCAAACTGCCCAGAATCTTAGCTAGAGGTTCTCCCGAACCCTGTAAACCCCCAGTAGCCCATCCCTGTTTGTCTTCCTAGATTAGGTTACACCTGAAAGGAAGAGATGTCATTGGCTACCCGCCTTGGTCCTACAAGGACTGAGTTGTAGCATCCTCCTATTAGTTAGTACTTTAAGGATTGGCCCAGGCCATTTTTTCTCTTGATTTCCTGATCTTTATGAGATATAGATGGGTGAACGGTGGTAGAAACTGTGATGGTGCACTTACCTTTTGTTCCAGGGGGCTGTAAATTGTCACCAGTCAATGAGCACCAGCCAACGGGAAAGATGTCACGAGAATCATAGCGGCACCAGTAATCAAAGGCTCCCCTCCAGCCATCAAAAGTGATAAGGACTTCAGAACCCCGTACCTCACCAATAGTGGCTGGGCAGATGAAATGTGGGTTCTTCCTGTCTACAGCCTCAAGTTTCATCCCCATCTTAAAGAAATTCTGGGATGGAGATGGTGGCTCCTAGGGGGAGAAAGACCAAGTCAACCATAGGCCCAGACTCGTCTAGTCCTGCTTCTCAAAATGCTCCTGCACAAGGTACCATAAGAGGTCAAGATTCTGCATCAGAATGACTCAAATGCTTCGCAGCTCAATTTCAGATGCAGGGTGAAATTCTGGGTGTTTTTTTAAAAAAAAAATCTGATTAAGTTCTACATCTGAGCAATAATAGCCAGATACCCATTTTTTTAAAAACTAATTTGATTTTAAGAAATCATGCTGTGTGGAAGGGCCATATTTGGGAAGTCCTTATCTAAGTTCACCCAAAGGGTAACTTAGTTCAAACCAAGTTATCCTGAAGGGTGACAGAACAGAGGTGTGGTGAAAGTTTCAAGTGCCCCATTTGGAAAGCGTTATGGAGAACAGAAAATGCCACAGCTTAATGAGAGAAATAGCATTCTGCTCTGTGAGCTGGATCTGTGCCAGCGGGGCAGCATTAAAGTAAGGGGGGGGGGGTAAAAATACATCCTGGTTTTTGAGAAGGAGGCTTGAATATTACGACTGCAAGTCCAGACTTCTTGAAATAGCCAGCCAGCCTTCCCTCTCCTAACATTCCTTCCCTTTTCCTGTTGTCAGGTTGAATTACCATTTCTCCCAAATGTCAAACACCTGCAATAATTCTTACTAAAACCTGGCACACTCTGAAGAAATCTAGGACTCAACTTGATTATATAAATGTCCTTTGCTGCAGTTAAAGCAAGCCAAAAGAGATAAAGAGCAGTTTCTACCAAGCTAGAATACAGTCACCTATATAAGCTCGCTGCCACCATATCCTTAGGTCTCAATTAGGTAAAAGTAAAGGTTCCTCTCGCACATATGCGCTAGTTGTTCCCGACTCTAGGGGGTGGTGATCAGTTCCGTTTCAAAGCCAAAGAGCCAGCACAGTCTGAAGACATCTCCGTGGTCATGTGGCCGGCATGACTAAACGCCAAAGGTGCACGGAACACTGTTGCCTTCCCACCAAAGGTGGTTCCTATTTTTCTACTTGCATTTTTACATGCTTTTGAACTGCCAGGTTGGCAGAAGCTGGGACAAGCAACGGGAGCTCACTCTGTTACGTGGCGCTAGGGATTCGAACCGCCAAACTGCCAACCTTTCTGATCAACAAGCTCAGTGTCTTAGCCACTGAGCTTCCGTGTCCCTTTAGATCTCAATTGTCTGGTAGCTATTCTTTTCTCAAGTGTATCTCTTGCACCCACCTTGAGCCTTAAATTGATTTTTTTCTATATTCAGCTTTCTCTCTTGTTAGCCTTTAATCTTAACACATTCACACAGAATGAATCCCAACTTAACCTGATTCCATTTTATTGCCTATAGTAATCAGTTCTCCCAAAATTTATCTCTTCAGCCTACAGATATTACTCACAGCATCTCATCCAGAAATCCCAGCAGATGTCCAAATACAATTCAAGATGCTGATTGTACATAAAGTAAGAAACTTAGGGCCCAGTTACTTGCGGGACTGCTTCTCCCTGATGGTTTCTGCCTGTCCCATCAGACTGGACATGTCTTCTCTACCATGGCACTTGTCCTGGGGAATGGTTCCACCACAAAACTGCGTTCGACTAAAGGGCACTCGACGAAACCGCGTAGCTGATGTCATCACAGCGCGACAACAGCGCGGAGAAAAAAGCACGCTGTAAATGCTAAACCTAAAATGCTAACCCCTAAACCTAAACCTAACCCCCCTAAACCTAATCCTAACCCTAAACCTAACCCTAACCCTTACCTTAACTTGAATCGGCTTGCTTTTAAAGCGCTATTTAAAGAGCCCTTTTTTCTCTGCGCTCGCTGTTGTTGCCCTGCTGATGACGTCAGCGACACGGTTTAATCGGGCGCGCTTTAGTCGAGCGCGGTTTTGTCGTGCCATGCTGGGGAACAGCCCCCTCCCAAATACGGACAACCGGTCAGTCTTCCAGAAGCACTGGACCAGGGGGCTAACAGAGCTGCCATGTGGGGGCCGTTTAATTAAACGCTAGTGAACATTTTTTTAGGGGCCTTGACTTGGTATTTTTTATGTAATGGGTTGTTATCTGTTCTGTTTTTATATGTTCGTTGGCAGGTAAATATATTTTTCCCCAAGAAGTGGCATATCCAGCAGAATTAGCCAGACTTATTTATCACAACAAATGGAACCATGTGGTTTCAGGGATCAGAAAGGCTGCATGGTACAATACCTTATGGAAAATCCGAATGGGAGCCATTTCTGCTCCGTTCAGAGTCTTCAGAAGAAACATAGGCCAAGAGGAAGCATTCAGACGAAAACCTGAAGCGGAGACGGAGATTGTTAAAACAGTAGCTGCAACGGAGAACATCCCAGCAGTGTTCCTTAATGTTTAGTAAATATTTCCACAGTGCATTAATCTGTGAAAGTGTAAAGGAAGTGCAGAATTTACAGACATGAGAAACAGAATGGAATGATCCTGACAAGAAATCTTCAGCGCAAAATGGAAAGCTCATCATTGTGATGGCAGTAAACAAAGGGAGCCAAAGGAAGTGGTGCTGATGTAGTTCAATAAAACAGAATGATTACCACCCTTTAATTTTAACATATTTCACCACCGATTCCAAAAACACCACCTTGCTCAGATAAACAGTAAGAATCATTTAAAAAAAACAAAAACACACGACTTCCTGACCAGTAAGTCAACAAATGTTCAAGGAATAATCACTTATGCATCTCAGGAGCTACACTGGATCAAAAGCCTCCAAAATATTTAAATTTAGTATAAACTGACTTTCAGACTAGCTGCTATCCTAGTTACCTGTGATAAGGACAACATGACATAAGAACAACCAGACTTAGATGTTTTGCAGTCAATACAAAGCTCCCCAAACTTGGCAACTTTAAGACTTGTGGACTTCAACTCCCACAATGCTGGCTGGAGAATTCTGGGAGTTGAAGTCCACAAATCTTAAAGTTGCCAAGTTTGAAGACCTCTGCAGTAAACAAAAGAAAATCCTTGAGATGGCTAAGCAGTCCTCAGCTAGTATCTATCTGAGGATCCAAATTCTTAGGGGCCATAGGCTGACTCTGTAAACTGCTTAGAGAGGGCTGTGAAGCACTGTGAAGCAGTATATAAGTCTAAGGCTAGTGCTATTTATTGCTAGCATGAGCTGACTTGCTTACAACTTGGGAAGTAATTCCTTGGAATCCACCATGGACAGCAAAGAGGAAAGCAGAATTAACCTCAGTAAATTTAGGAATCCATAACAGAATGTGCTTTTCAGGAAGACAAAGCAAGACTCTTCATTTTCAGGAGTCTTCTGTTAGATATGGCAAGAGCACCAGGTGCTTGTGGTTTATTGAAGTCATGAGGGATTTTTCTCCTCTTCAGCATTAGCAGAGGAGGAGAGGAGCTTTTCTGAAAACAGTGAGTGATTTATATAAAAGAGATGGGACTTCCTCTACCAACACTAACCACAACAAAAAGGCAATTATTAAAACAAGAGGCCTCCTGGATTAGCAAACACCGTATTTAGAATAGAAGAGTTGGAAGGGACCTTGGAGGTCTTCTAGTCCAACCCCCTGCTTTGGCAGGAAACCCTATGCCATTTCAGACAAATGTTTGTCTAATCTCTTATTCAAAGCTTCCAGTGTTGGAGCATTCACAACTTCTGGAGGCAAGTTGTTCCACTGATTAATTGTTCTAACTGCCAGGAAATTTCTCCTTAGTTCTAGGTTGCTTCTCTCCTTGATTAGTTTCCTTCCATCTGTTGCTTCTTATCCTGACTTCTGGTGCTTTGGAGAATAGCTATCTTTCACACTACCAAAATGTAGTGTGGCGCAGCAGTTAAAGGGCAGTATTGCAGGCAAACTCTGTCCACAGCCTGAGGTTCGGTCCTGATGTGGTTCAAGGTTGACATAGCCTTCCAACCTTCCAAGGTCAGTAAAATGAGGAGCCAGATTGTTGGGGCCAATATGCAAATAATGCTTCTATGCTGTAAACCACCTACAGAGTGCTGTAAACCACTATGGGGCAGTATATTACAAGTCCTTCTTTTCATTAAACTAAAAATACCCAGTTCCAGCAACCGTTCTTTAAATGTTTTAGCCTCCAGTCCCTTAATCATCTTTGTTGCTCTTCTCTGCACTCTTTCTACGTGACCCGTCAAAANCACACACACACACCCAGCCTCCCTGTCTTTTCTCTTATTGTGAGTAGTTTGGAAATCATTCTTTTCCACAAAGAATTTAATTCCCACCCCCAGCCCATTTCCCAATGCAACAGCTGGAGGTTATTTTTAAAATCATCAATCACACGTTATCTCAAGCTATGTGACAAATGTTACATCTAACTTGGCTTAAGCTGAGTACCTTTAAGTGCCACTTAATCAAGGTAGGATTCTTAGGGGTCATTCAAATAATGCTTCAACTATTCATGAATGCAAGAACATAAAACAGGAGATGGGGAAGGAATGCCAGACTTTTGGCGGAGCTAATCCAGCCTTCTTTTCTGCATAATAGACAGTCCAAATCTTCTCTGCTGTTTTCCTCACCATCAAGTGTAGAACCCATTAATGATTATAGCCAACAACCATAAGACAATCCCCCCCTCTATGGTTTTATCTCTTTTCAGAAACAAGTCTCGTTTGTCATGACTTAATTTATTGAATAATGCATTGTATAAAAAGACCAGGTTACTTGGTGTCTAGTACTTCTTATATCATGAGAAAGAAATTCTCTCTAGTAAGTCTCTGCAGCATGCATAATTATGTACATTAAGGATGGACAATCTGTTGACTTCCGTATTTTTTGAAATACAATTCCTGTAATTTAACCACTGGCCAAACTGCTGTGGATGTGCAATCTCAAAACCTCTGGAGAATGGTATACACAGGTGACAATTTCGCAACACTGCAATGTTCCTTCATAGTCTGTTTCAGATTTAAACTTCCCACAATACCCATTCCAAGTTAATTCAACTTTGAGCACTCAACAGCCTTATATTAAAGAGAGTCATTACTTTTGGTTTTATTGTATAGGGACAAGTAAACTATTTTGTGAGCTTAACTTCAAGAACAAAACAATCAGAACAGACACAAATCTACAGAATCACCTCAGTCTAAACGGAATTCTAGAAACAGATACCTCAGCATTGTTTCATTTAATCCAGGGATCAACTTTTATATCTCTTTCCAAAGTGAAATTAAATTATATAAGACACAAGAGGCATTTTAATAGCAAGGGCTTTAGGTAGTTTTATTTCAGTGAATGTAACCACAGCTACCTTCCAATATTTGAGCTCAGAAGGTAAGTCTTCCATCTCAGAATGTGTATCTTGTTCAAGATTTGCTTTTTCTTTTGAAAAATAAACCACAACTGAAAATCACAGCTTTTCTTGATGAAAAGATAGGTTTTCCATTGTCTTGTTTAAACTGCCCTTTCTTAAAGCAATTTCATTTTGAACTGTGCTTAGTGGTCTGGAAAACAAATTGTTCATTTTCTTCTTTCACAGCGTGATAGACGGAGTTCCACATTTAAAAAAAAAATATTTCTCTCTCCTTATGGAATTTAAGGCAACCTGCATAAGCTTTCCAGATAATCTCCCATCCATTTGCCAACCAGATTAAAGCCTCCTTATCTTCAGCAAGGCAGCTACATCGGGTACCTCCAAATAATTCATAATTTAAAAAAAAAATCTATTTAGAGTGAGTGGAAAAAGTCACGGGAATATTTTGAGGGGGAAAATGGCCAGGCAAGGAAAAATAGGATCTGTTCTTTATGCAAAATGGCAAAACAACTGAGATTGAAATTTTATTATATCCTTTTTTTTAATAGATACATTTGGCACTTTAACTATATATTCACTGTGCATCACTAAATCAGAAAAAGGTTCAGTCATGCAATAGCATTTCAGCTTTAAGCATCTGAACTACAAAATGGATGATTGTCCATCCAATTGTGTGGCCTTCATTTCAGTAATATGGAATTGTCTCAGGAAGAATAGCTACCCCTTTAGGCCTCTTCTAATATTTATGTTTAGCCAACACAAATCCTTTCGTTGAGAGATTACATGTACCCTATTCCTGACAGGTAAGCCACATTTACAGTTGAATGAATAACCATCAAGACAGAGCAAATTAAAGGCCAAGCAAGTTTTAAAAATCAAAGGGGTTACTAAATCTAGCCTATGAAGGGAATATACCAGAGACTACTGTAATAGAGCTCTTCACCATAGACATACCCCAGACTTAAAATAGCTTTTGAAAAGTAAGCCCCTTTCTATGTAGATGAATTTAAAAACTTTATTTTGTACATCAAATCTATTTCTAAAACAAAATACTGGCAT